GAAGTCTAGGCAAATTTGGGTTCTTAGCAGTTCAACTTGTATAATAAGTGGGTTGAAAGTATAATTTTATAATTTAAATTTAACATTTTTAAGTTGCTAAGGAATGAGTCAAATTAAACTCCCATTTATTTGGGGATCTTTTAAATTTTATAAACATATTTATTTCTATGTAATCTGACAATATCACAATGGTTTCAAATGCTTGAAAGCAATTTAAGTAAATTAATCAGTCCTATAAGCTTGTTTTACATTATTTGCTTAAAATTCAGTGATTAGAAAGGTAAAAGGTTTAAACTAACTCACAGCCCAACTATTGTAAAGTTTAGGAAGATTCAAATAACCGAAATTTCACTACATAGTTCAACTGTATTTTCTTGACTACTTTTGAAAATTTTTTTTACCGATTTTCAGATTGAGTTTATATGTATGTTTTTTCCCAAACCAAAAGTACATAAAGTTTGATTTCCCCATTCCATTGTCCAGCAGTAGCTACTGTTCATTAGCTTTAGATTTTTATGTACATGTACAACATCCTTTGCAAGTGGGTTTCTTGGAATATAAAAATGAGTTATTCTGTATATATTGCTTAGTAACTTACCAAGTTATGTGTGTGCCATATATATGATATCTACCCCCATTTTTTGGAAAGCTGAAGTTGTAATATTGTGTACATCAAAGCAAATTGGTACATTATATATAGTTAATTGTTCTTTCATTTTATTCAAAAAATTCAAGGAGGAATAAAATTTATAAAATGTTTTGGCAGGGTTTTAAAGGGAAGTAGTTAGTCTTCAGTAAGATGGCCACCAGGGCTGACATATATATAATATAGATAGATAGATAGATAGATAGATAGATAGATAGATAGATAGATAGAAGATAGGTAGATAGATACTGTATTTTTCCTTAGAAATAGGAAAGAGAAACAGTATCTGCTAGGGGAGGGTATTGCCAAAAATAATGCCATCAATAAGGGAGGGGGGAATTTTATTTACTTAACAGTACAAACTGTTTCCAAGAACTTTAGAAACTAATTAGGGGTTATTTTCTCTCATTAAGGAGAAGCCCCAAAGACCTCACCTTGGTAACACTTGATTTCCAATATATTTGACAAAATTTTAAATGGATGATTTTTTAATGTATTTTTTGACTCCTTACTATTGTTCCTATCTTATCTAATCTTCTTTAGTGAGTTTTTACATACTCAATTTATTTTGATCTTATTAAAGCATAATTGACTATACTTTATGGCCATTTAAGATTAAGAGATATACCTATACCTTTAATTTTACATCAATAGTATGAATTTTCAGTAGGAAACAATGAAAATCCTGCATACCAGAGTAGATCTCAACAGCCTATATGGTTTGTTACTTATAAGTAGGACTTTGCTTTCTTCTAAGACTATTAATATAAATCAGTGTACTTATATTTATAAGCATGTAGTGAATACATATAACTACTTCACATTTCTTTCAGAGACTGTCCAAACAGTTTAAAAATGAATTGGCATCTTTCCCCACAAAAGGGTCCATTCATGATATGTCCAATAGGATTCTGTTTTACTGTATTTTCCTGGGATTCTCTAACACTCTAAGAACTAGACATTTCCAAAAGTTAGCTCAAAAATATTCCATTTATTCATATTTAAACTATAGTGACATCTTTCATGACCTTTTATTAGCCTTTTCTACTATCTTTATGCTTTTACCTTTAAAATAAAATGGCTTTTTTAATGACACCAACGATATTAAATATAAATAACACTCCCATAAAGATGTCTTGCAGATTTTAGTGCATTTAGTCATGAGTCCTCTACATTTCTCCAATCTCCTTCTCTCTGTTAAGTGTGTTAATTGAAATTAATCATGAGATTCAAGGTGAACTAAATATGAGTAGCAAGAAACATCTTTTCTTTTCATCCCACCTCTAGACCACAGTGAGGTAAGATGAGTCGCATGTCCCACATGCTGTCACGACCTATGATCCCACAATCTATAAGAACACAAAGTCACTTTGTAAAAAGAAAGAATGAAAACAGAATATTGTTAGCAAAGCACAATAGTGTTTCGTCTTTACGCTTTTCATCATTTTAAACCAGAGCTGCCTTTCTACCTGTTACAACATAAAGCACTCATCAAGTTCTCCCACCATTGGCTGGCACTGACAAAATTATCAGAGCTACCTCTTCCGTGACAGTACCACTGAAAGGGCTAGAATCCTGGCTCTCCCAGAGATGCAGCAGTCTTTGTGACCTGCTACTTTTCCTAAGAAGGCAGTAGTGCACAGTAGCTAGAGTACACTGTAGTATAGCAATATCCAGGTCACCTTTTCAACAAAAAGTTTAACTAATAGGTCAGTATGGCTCTAGAATAGGTTTGCACTTCAGATGTTTGTCGTTGTTCCCCAAAACTAAGTGGCGCTAACCTAAAGGTGAATACCAGTGCCAAAAAATAATGTATTGCAAATACAGTCCTATGTTTGCTTTGAGTGGTTGTTCTTCTGATGCAATCATAGAACTAATAGAGAGATATTAAGGAGCCATCTAAATCTACCAAGTTTCCTATGAGCAGGATAGTAAGAGCCCATCTTGGAGATTGAAGAATTTATTTTTTTTAAACTCACTAGAGGAAGGTCATTTGACAGTTTTCCCCTTCTAAACCAGGTAACAGACACTAACTGAAAGATACTATTTTAAATTCCTTTCATACTGACTTTTTTTTTTTTTTTTTTGGTCTGTGGCAATGAAGACTAGATAATCAGTCATTACATAGGACCTCCACTTGAAAATAGTAGCATTCTGAAACCAAGTACTTTATCAGACAGCTATTCTCATTTATTTTAAGACCTATGAAAGGTTCAGTATTAAAAAAAGATTTTCGCTGAACTTTCTCACAGTGCTTCCAAAAAATGTATATATTGCTCTTAGTAAATGAAATTTTAACAATGGGTGATAAATTTCCCAATTAAGGTACTATCTTAATTCACATTAGACATACTGTCATTCATAAAAATGGGTTGTACTGAAAGTGAGAGGATCTAATTAAAGCCCTAATCATTGGCTAAACTTTTTTCAACCAATGAAACCTTTTGCTTTGTAAAGCAATGTGTATGTGTTCATTCTATACTTACGTATTTTTAAATTCTTCCTTCTTGGAGCTTGTTGCTAATCATCATCCTTGTACATAACTTGAGGTTTAGTGCTTTGAATTTGTTGACTGCTAAATAACTCTCAGTGGAGTAGCCTTTTCCCCCTACCCTGGAAGAGCCAGGAGAACGTATGCCTTCTTTTTCTAACATCCCATAGCGCATGTGTGTGGTGTATGGAGTGGTGGGGAGATCTCTCCACCTGGTATGCCGCTAATCTCTATGCCACATCCTCTAGGGAGAGGAAGCAAAACACATTCCTGGTGAATCTGTCACGGAAGAACACTTTACTGATGAAGAAGGCAACCTCGTCACCAGAAAAGTAATCACCATTGGGATTTCATACTCCTCTTGGAATTTAGATGTTCTGTTTGCTTGCTGTAGTGTCCCCTCTTGAAACAGAAAGCAGGAAACATCTCTACTTTTCACTGTTGCTTCCTACAGATCACTCGGAAAGTGATAAGACGAATGGTTATCCCACAAGAGAGGAAACATGACGTGGTAAAGGAGGGGGCCTGCCCCAGAGAAAGTAGAGGATGAAAGCTTTGTGAGCGCTCTCGTGTACGCGGCTAACAGGCTGGCGTGGGCAGTGTGGCAGCTTGAAGCGTTTGCTGCTCCTGATATCTTGTGCATCTGATCAGGGTCAAAGAAAAAAACTTTTCTTCCTAACATTCTTTAACATTATATTCTTTTACTATCTTCAGAGAGTTCACAGAGATATGTTCATTTATGGAGGTTAGAACATGCCAGTTCAAGATTCCTAGAAAAAATTAAAATCCTCTACCATCACCAAACCCGTCGGCGGGGCCCCACCCATGCCCAGTGCCTGTCCGGGCACGGATGGAGAGCATTCGTTTCCAGCAAATGCACAGGATTTAAATGTTAGAATGGCAAAAAGCTCAGCTCAAGATCCATATATCAAATATGTTTTCCCTGTACAGTATGTTCTACGGAGAAATCTGAATTCCTCCATTCTTAACCCAAAAATTCTCCTCTGTGTTTCCAATGTGCCAATCCAGGAACTAAACTCATTACTGAGCCTTGTAACTCAGCAGATGGATCTCCATCTCCCAGAGAAAACACTGCTAGTTATTTCTTCCTTCCTTTTCTTAGAACTTTAACCTTTTCATTTTAAAAATAGAAACTTACTAGCCTATGTTTACATAAGAAAAAGTGAACTGAGAATTTCTCAGGACTAAATCTGTGGAAAGGCTGCTGTGTTGTCCATTAATTATAAACAGGGTAAAGGCTGAGTATTTGTACAAAAACTTTGCTCTCAGAGAAGTGTGTCCCACTGCTCGGTGAAGAAGGGTCTTGTTTTATGGAAAATGGATGTCTGCCTGGTCTGGAGTGAGAGGAGGGGTTGGTAATTCCACAAATAATAATTAATGATTTTAAAAAGTCCCTTAGATCCACAGCTTTTCCATGGTGTTAGTTGTGATTAGTGGTTTGCTGAGAACTTTCAGTCTCATTATGACAGCTTAAAATTCTGCTGGCTTAAAAATGCGTAAGTTGTAATTAATATATTTTATGTTTGGGGTTTGAGTGCCTTGAGAGCTTTCTCGCTTCCGACCGGAAACGGACAGGCTGCTCCTTTTTCGATTCCTCACTAACCTGAAGTACCGTGAAGTACAGTGGTGCTGTCTTCACTCTGGTGGTGCTCTCTAGCTTGCCTGGATGATGCTAAGCTGTGTGGTGAAAGCCGGTGGATTGTATTTTCGGACATGAAGTGGCAAAGTGCTTTAAACTGTGTTTCACTTACCCTAATCCAGCCTCAAGGAACCAGAGTCGGAACTGCTTCACAACTAAAACTCCTTTGCTGCAAAATCCTAACGTGTGCATTCCTTTTAAAGCAGGGAGAAGGTTATAAGGTGAAGACAAAGAAAGAAATCCGGCATGTGGAGAAGAAGAGCCACTCATAACGTGAAAGGTCAGTCAGCTATGTGCGCTCATATCAACAACAGTAGCACTTAACGCCCTGTGGCACTCAGGAAGTGATTGAGCGCGCCCCCCTTCCTCTCTCTTTCACTGTGTTCCAGCTTTGCATATGCAGTATGAAGCTGTGATAGTTTTTTATGTATGCTCACACACACACACACACACAACTTGACTCTAGTTCACAATCCAGAAACTTTCTCATGAATTAGTCAGGAATTTCAATGTAAATGATGTTTGCAGAGGCAAGTGTAAACAGTGATTTTTGAGTCTTCCCGAAGACTGAAGGCTCAGTATCAAATGCAGGAGCGGTGTACAAGCTAATAGGAAGATAATTTGGCAACGAGTAATTCTTACAAATACACTGTGAGAATTGTATTGATCCAGCCTTTCCCCATTTTAGCGGAACAGCATTGAGAATATAATTTTGGTTAAAATATAGTAGTTGCTAAGTTTAAATTAAATGAATGAAATCCCTATATATATGATTTCATATTTTATGTAAGCCAAAGCAAATTAAATAGGAAATTAATTAATGGCACTGCTCTGTTTTTAAGTTAAAATGTTTAAAGTTGTCTGAACTTTTCTTCATAAGCAAGAGTGTTTTCCTTTAGTGCTGTTTTCTAAATTTGACTTCATCCTATTTATTTCTACATAGCTACCATTAGAAAGGCAATTTGGGGTGAAAAAGCAATATAGCTTTGAAAATGTCCCCATAAGTCTGCCAGGTAAAGCAGGGTGGTTTCTTTAAGGCTATTCACCAACAGTTCTCTTAGCCCCACTGGTCAAAGTGACAGAGCAAACAGGTTCCAGTTTCAGCTTTCATACTTCTGCTGCTCCCCAATTCCCAGAACCCCTGAGAAAATATCTAGTCTCATTGCCCCTAATGCTTTCTTTATGAGAGGTAACTATAAGTAAAGCCCAAATAAATTCTTAGTTCTTCCTCCACTAAAACACCTTACCGTTTTTTATTTATTCACTTAAATACTTATTTCACTTCCTCTCTGTGAGGCTTTCCACGGGGGCACTGAGAAGTCATCGCTAGACAATCCTGACAAGGTGCTTGCTCTCCCTGAACTTACACTTTAGATATTTAATGGGAACCGATCATAGCTAAGAACTACGGGGTGCTCTGGAATAATATTTACTATGCATACTCTTCCAAGTGTTTCACTTGTGCTCTTAATTCTCACAACCAACCCATTTAACAGGTGAGAAAACAGGCCCAAAATTTTGCCCAATATCTCGTAAACAAAAAATGGCAAAAAACAGGATACACAAACCCAACAAGTGGTTGCCAAGTTTAAGTTAAATGAATGAGCCCACACTGTCAAACCTGTGAACCGGAACTTGACCTGGATCTGAGGTGACAGGGAAGCTTTCCTTGGGGAAAGGGATGGATGGGGATGTTTGAGTTTTAAAAAATGAACAGGACTCAGCGGATGAGGGGTGGGAAATTTGCTAGGCGTAGGCACGAGCAATGGCATTCTGCAGAGGCAAGGAGGAAACAGGGAAAAAGAAACTGTAAGAACGGGTCAGTGTAAGTGGCAGAAGAGTTTGCCATTGTGTCTGGAAAGGTGGGAAAGATCCGAATAGGCCTTGTGTGTTTCTTTAAGATTCTGGTCTTTACCCCAAAAACAGCGGGAAACCATTGAAGGTTCTTAGGCAAGGGTGGTTGTGTTCTGCATCACTCACTCTAGCTGCAGGGGAGTGAGTTAATCAGAAGTGGCAATGATGGATGACAAGAAAACCTGTGAAGAAACTATGGTAGATCCTGGCTTGGGCAGTGAGGATGGTAAAAGGTAGGATGAATCGAGAGATAGCAACATGATTTGGTTTTTATTGGCTGATAAGGGTAAGAGATTGGATAATTAAGGATGACATCAGTGTAACAATATCTAGAATGAACCTACCTATTATGCATGTCATACAGCTAAACTTGATGAAGACATTATGTAGCAAATTACTAAAACACCGAACATCAGTTTGCTGTCTTAAATTGGTCTATTTAAGCAATTCTACTAGTAAGTGATAAGTGAAGTGAAAATAGAAACTAGGTCAGTCAGCTTCAGTATGACCCTGATAGTGTGTCCCTTAAAGTTTAACATCTCATTCAGTCATAGACTCAGACACCAGATGGAAAAAAACCAGAAGTGGTTTGATTTTTGGTCAGGGCACAGGCTCGATCCCCAGTAGGGAGCATGCAGGAGGCAGCCGATTAATGATGTTTCTCTCATCAATGTTTCTATCTCTCTATCCCTCTCCCTTCCTCTCTCTCCTGAAATCAATAAAAACATGTTTTTTAAAAAAAGAACCACAAGTTCTTTGAATGACCCTACACTAGCTGGGCCATTTTTATAGAGTAACAAATACCTAATATTCATGAATAAATGATACCAAATCTATATGACAGTGCTATGCATCCAAGGTCCTTTAGAGAGTATTAGCAGAGAAGCAACTTGCTCAATAAATATACAAGAGGCTTTAAAATTATAAATAATACATATTGTGAAGAAGTTGTCAGGGCCTGGGCTAACTTGCTATACCCCTCAAAGAAGAGAGAAACTCAGTAGGAGAATTCATATGAATATGGGAATAACTTCAGGGTAGAGCAAACTCAGTGTGTCAGATGGAAAGAATGGCAATTTGACTGCAAGCCCCAGTCTACTCTCCAGGGTGGTATTTACCTTCCATAGTAAACCTGGGAAATGAGTCCAAGAATACTGCCTAGAATTCCAGGACACTGAATGTGTGCTCTGGAAAAACCAATCTGCAAATAGATTAAGAAATTTTATAGCCCTGCTGGCTGCCTTTAAAAAAAACAAAACAGGAAAAAGAAAAAAAAAACAGAACTAAGCAAGCAGAATACTTTTCAAATTTTACTGAGTCTCAGACAGTGACATCAAATTTTTATTTCCCATTATACAGCCAGTTTAATTTTGAGTTGTCTGAACCCTGCACCTGCTTTTCTTCAATACTGAGCCACAACCATCCTACTTTTAATGTAAGGGAAAAGCCAATGGCTTAAAATCACTATAAAGATTTGTATGTAGTATATAGTGATTTATAGTTTATAGTGCTTTTTAAGTGGCAAGTAGTATATAGTGATTTATAGCGCTTTTCCATTTTCTTCTTGTGTAGTCCTTCAAACAAGCCTTGAAGCAGGTCAGACCAGTTTTGTTTACTTCCTTTTAGAGATGAAGATACCGGGGCTCAGAGATGTCAGGTGGCGTTTCTGCTGTCACACAGCTCATGACTGATACTCTTGCCTAGCAGTGCCCTTTCTGTTACACCAACCTGACTTTCTAAAATTATTTATGAATAATAGTCATTCTATCAAATGATTATTGTGTGACAAGTACTAGGTAAGGTTATTATATACCCCCATTCATATAATCCCCAAAATAATACTATAGGGTAACTACTACCATCCTTTTTTTATAAATGAGGAAACTGAAGTTTTAAAATGTAAGACTTACCTAAGGTCCTACAGCTAATGAGCAAAAGCTATGAAATTTGAACTTATCCAGAAACTAGTTATTAACTATTACTTATATTAATATTTTAATAGTATGCGATGACTTAAAGACCTAAAAGCAAACTTTGAATCAAATTTTGTACAAAGGCAACCTGTAGTAAATTTCTTCATACTCTACATAGTAAAAACTGTTTGGGGGGAGGGTGGTTTGATGTTTTTTTAAGTAAAGCAAACTTTCATTTTTAAGGTAGCCATAATCTATAAAACATTTACCTCAAATGTACCATTAGAGGGCTGATTAGTGAGTCGGTGGCAAGGGAAGGTCCCCAGAAAGAAGCTGTAAAAACTGCAGGATAGCTGTATTCCAAGCCTCTGGGGGAATGCTCAGGACCTCACAGCCATATGGAAGCCAAGAGTGGCAACAGTGCCCAAGCTTGCCAGGGCCATAATCTATCTGAGTCAAAAAGCTGACTAATTATATTTATTCCTTAAAAAGATATTTGACCTTTCACTTGGTGAAGAATGAAAAGGGTAGATATGCAATCATGAAGAAAACCTCCATGCTGCCTGTCCTTCTGGAACTCTTATCTTGCAAGGAGGAACGAGATGGGACAAATGTTGTTCAAGGGCTAAAAATACAAAACCCAGGATCCAACGAAAGGAAAGAGAGAAAGGACTAGAGACCCACAGGTTGAGAACCGCTGTCTTAATGGCTCCTGCCCTCTCACATTTTCCATCAGGTGTCGCTCTTATCACAGTTTATACAGGATGTTGATGTTTTATAAGAGGCACTCAGCCAAGGCTCTAATGCTTTTTGTGCAACTTGGCATAAAGTCTTTTATCCAATGATGACCTTTCTGCACCCTGTGTGATTGGAGCCAACACACTCTGATGTGCGAACAAGAGAGATTTATAAGGGGAACTAATTCCCAACTTTTTTAAAAACTATCACTCAAATCATTCCTGAATATAAATGGGAATAACTAATAGCATTTTTTAAATTATAGAAACATATCCACTATTTCTAGAGAGATAACGGTCATTTGCATTGGGTGATAAAAGAGAAAGACCTTACTCCTTATAGCCAGATTTATCCTTGGAAGTTGGATTCGTTTTTGGAAGAGATGATGCAAAAATAAATAAAGTTCAATTGAGTTGCCCATCTACGTACATTTACTAAACACTATAAAACTATATATTTACAATAGGTGAATTGTACGGTATGGAAATTATGTATCCTTTAAGCTGTTAAAAGCTGGGGTCTGTGGGAGGGGTTTGATTAGAGAAAATTGCTGAAAATTCTCCCTAAGAAAACAGCATGATAGCACTAGGGTAACACTATAGGACCATCTAAGAAGCCTGGTGCCTGGAAGATTAGGAATAATATCAAAACAGAGGTGAGAAAATCCTGATCTTCTTACTCTGACTTACACACCTTCTGGGATGGAGCCTGTCCAAATGAGTCACTTTCCTTCCCTGGAGCTTCTGCAGAGCCATGGGAGGGGGCCGGTGTTGAAATCACCCCAGAAGGAACTGATACTTTGATGTGCTTGGCTCTCAGCATTGATGACCTGGGGCATGGAGGTCGGTAGCACTTTTAATACAAAAATGGAAGCCTGAACCGCAGTAGAGCAAAGGAAGTGCTGTACCAATATGTTTACATAAGCCAAGGTATCCTGGGTGACCCATCTAAAGGGGAAGAAACTTGTCCAGGATAAGTAAACAACATCAAGGTCACTGGGAAGACTTTTGGGCCTTAACAGAAATAATCCTAAAGGTTACCCTAGACCTGCTTACATGTTGGCGACCAAAGTTGTTCCTGCCTTTCTCAGTTTTCTGTAGGGGCTGTGTCTTGTTCTTGGGCAGGCATTCAAGTTTGTCACCTTCACACTGACAAAGGACTAGACGTGGGAATAATTTTATTTTATGGAGAAAAAGTTCATACCAAGAACAATACATACTGCACCAAAGTATGAAAACCTTTGCCAAAGAATGTTGATTTATTTTGACATATTAAGAGCGGCGACAAAACAGATACTTTATGCAGGTATTATCGAGTAAGACAAGACAATCTTAGTGGAGCCAAAAAAAAACAAACCAAAAAAACCTCAAAATTAATTGATCCTGTCAGGACTGATGTGGGGCAGGAAAGGGGAAAGTATTCTTTCCAATGGCTGAAGATATTCTTCCATTTTAATGTGCATATGGAAAAACAATTTCCTAGTAATGAAGCAGTAACACTGTCCTCCCTTTTTGAAAGACTGGTTGCTTTTGTGCCCATGAAAACCTTATGCCCCTGCTAATTTGCTGGTGGTGGAAATCTCAGAGAGCACCTCTTCATTTTACAGATAAGCCAGCGGCCCCCCAGGGCTTCCCCAAGGGCCTGGGTGAATGACCCAGACATCAAAGACAGACCTAGAAGAGAGACCTTCTGACTCAATCTCTAAAACCACAAGTAGAGCAAACAAAGTTGCATGAGGTCACAGGATCAGCAAGGGGAGGTCATTGCCTTCAAAGAGCTTTCCGGCACACCTCAGGGCCTTGTCCTCTCAGGCATCTAGCAGACAGCCTGAGTCCAAAGTTTCATGCTAACCCGCCCCATGAGGAGGCCCAGGACCCCCATTCTCTGAGCCTTTTCTGTTGAATGGCAAGGAAGGCTTAGATAAGTTCTCAATTTTTTTAAAAAAAGAAAGCAAGCTAACCTCACTAGTAACTGTCTGTCTTTCCACAGGATCATGTGTTTTTACT